AGGAGCAGAGGGATTTTGAATAACTGATTCAACTTCCTGTGAGATATTTCACGTTTTGTTCAGAATTTTCTGGTGTTCCTTCGGAAGGGAAGATCTCACAACCCTTAATCAGAAATCTAATTTCCAACTGAGGAAGTTCAAATGGATTTTCTTTCCTAGTTTGTTTTCCCTTGCTTGCTGCATTTTAATTTAAAAAGCCCAGTTTAAAACAAGCTAAAACCTTGTTTTAACAAGGACAACAAGGCCTACTGAGATACCCAAAGCATCTCCCCCTTTTTTAGTCCTGTTTGAAGGTTGGGTCTGTGGTTCTTTTTCTGGTACCTGGCCAGTAATAAGCCTTGCTCTCTGTTCAAGGGTTTAAACATCTAGGGAGCTTATGTCAAAGGAGAATTTCTAAAGCCATCAGTCAAAGCCTGGCCAAAGGAAATGACACGACTAAGTCATTTTGAGGTGTAGGAGATCTGGTGCCCTGTTGAGGGTCCTCTCCTTGAATTCTGCTGGCTCTAATGCTGTCCACAAGGAGGTCTGGAATTGCTGGGTGTCCTCAGTGTGTGCACACTTGGCTGTCAGCCCCACACACCACACTGAGGGTACGTGAAGCTCTGAAACATTCCCCCATCCCCCTGGTACCAACTGCCTTGCCTGAGATCTATTTACAAGCATGAATAATTTTAAACATTTAAGTAGTCTTCAGAGGGATTACTTGCATGTCATGGCATGTTGGCTGCAACTTTTCAAGAAGAGTTACGTATCTTTTTGGCCTTGAATGGGAAAATGGAAATTGAAAATGTAGTGGAGGAGAGAAGTGGGGCTGGCCCAGGTGCCTGCTGTGCTCTCTGCCCAGCTTCACCCAGAGTGCTGCCCTTTGCTGCTGCCCACGCTTTGATAACGCCCCTGGAAGAAGCTGACTTTTAAAAACAGAAATACTATGAGGTGTTGGACTCCTGTTGCCCTCGGGCAGTGTTTTACTCCAACCTCTGCACCCCAGTTGTTGCCAACCCCTTTTTCAGCTGGGGGTCCTGCACCCTCTGACTGGAGTGGGAGCAGGGTTGGTTTGGGGGGCACAGTTTCTCAAGGGAGTGGTTGGATCTTGGTGGATAAAGCAGAATAGTTTGGGGGGGTGGTGTTTGTGGTTTGGGTTTTTTTTAAGAAAAAAGGGTCTGTGCTACTTTTGAAACAACACCTTTGCTAATTTTGGCTAGTTTGGCAAGAGGGGCTTTAACACCCTTGTACACACGGTACTGCATGAGCTGTAATGACTCTTTACTGTCATATAATCTAATAGCAAAAATGGGCCAAACTGTGCCAAAGGCACGGAGCCAGGGCACAGGAGGCCACAGCCCTGATCTCCCCAGCTTTATGTCCTCCCCTCTTGCATCCACTTTTTTCATCTCCAATGAATAGAAGACTTCATCTTTTTAAACTCCAGCAGGACAAGGCACATGTGGCCTGACTCTACCACAAACTCCTCAGTAACACTCTCACTGTTTGGGGGAAGTAAATATGTGAATTTCAAAAGTCTTTCTGTGTGGAGAATCTGTTTGGATTTGTGCAGGAAGTGGGGAGCGGGCATATAGGTAGCAATATTAATGAAGTTTTTTATAAAGGCTTCATTCAAGGCTTTCAAAGAAAATATAACTCTTATGGGACCCATAGTTTATCTGCCAAGTCCGAGAATCTGGTTGGAATTTAAAATATATATTTAAAGGTTTCTGAGAAGTAGAGGATTAGAAAGAGCAGGTCAGGAAGGGCACTTGGGAAATTACTGCTTGAAGAGGAGATTGGTCCTTGGGGTCTGAGCTCTGCACTGGGGTGCACGAGACACCAGAGGAGCAATCCTCCTCTTGGCTCTACAGGAGTAGGAAAAGGGGGTGACTGGGACAGATCCAATCACTGCCCTAAACTCCTGTGCCATGGTAAAGTGGTGAAACACATCCAAAAATCCTTCATCTGTTGATGGGCTCACGTCTTCCTGGAAGACCTTGAGTTCAAACCCTTTCCCTTTTTCTCCCTTGTGGGAGATGGCTGTGCTGGCTCATTTGCTGCCTTAAAAATGCTGTTTAATGGTTTAGGTTCATATCCCTCATGTCCTTGAGTGTCCCAAGGTTGCTTGTTGTGGTATTGGAAGAGAAGGGCTTTTACCAGCCAGGTAAACTGGTTGGAAAGAACACCCTTAGGGATGTCAGGGCTGCTAGAGACAGCAGCTTGGCATTTGTAACAGGCCCCTTCCATCCCTAAAATCCCTGATGTGGGTAAATCCTTACTCTGGGGAGTGGTCAATCAATCTGAGAAGCCTTTTGCTATTTTTTATTTGAGAAAATGGGTTCCCCAGTGGGAGCAGGGAGGTGCCCAATCTCCTTGCCCAGGATTCAGTGATGTGTTTTGTGACCCAGGAGGTTCACAGCTCAAGGGGTTTCTTCCTTCCCAGTCTTTTTTTTTTTTCCTGGGGACAGTAATCTGCTTCCTGACCTGCATCAGACCCCCATCCCTGGTGCTCCAGCAGAGCTGAGGTTCACTTTCCCCAGCTGCCAAACAGAGACCCTTGTGTCTCCTTGCATCGTGTACCTGTGGCTTTCTTGGACTCTCTACAAGCCCTGTTCAAGGGTCTGTGTATTCCTATTACATAAAAAGAGATTTAATTTTTCACTCTTTGGGGACAGATCTTGTTAGCTTGGACAAGAAGAAAGTAAGTGCAGACCTGTGGGGAAGAAAACCACCCAAAACTTCTAGCCCTGTCTGTTTGCAATCAAAGGCACACACATGTCCTGTAGGCGATGTCCCTGTGCCAGCAGGATGGTCCCTGCCCAGAAAGCTTTTACAGATGATGTGCAAATCCCCTGTTTATGATGATTCTGCTCCCTCCCTATTGCCCCTGTGCTTTGCACTCCCCATGCAGGCCAAGTCCTGGTTTCAGAGTCAGGTGGCAGGAGCACAAAGCTATGCATTGACCTTAATCTTGTTTAGTAAAATCAGCAATGCTGCTTTGGGGTGAGGGCAGTGCCCGTCCCCGGGTCAAAGACCCTGAGGATGAAGGAGCACTCACAGTGTAAATGTGTCCAGTCTCATGGCCCTGTCCCCAGCCAGAGGGTGACAGCCAGCAGTATTCCTACATGTTTGGGGTTTTTTTCCAGTGACTTCAGCCTAGGGGTTTGTTGCTTTTTTTTTTTTTTGTGATGGTGCCTTTTTTATTTAACCCCCATGGCCAGATCTTTCCAATTGCTTTCCAAGATATCCTGTAGCAACTGGTTGCACATTTATTTTAAATACATATATAAAGTATTAATATGTATTTAGTTATTTAATTTAATTATAAATAATATATAATATTTAATAGCACAGTTTAACTGCATGTTGAGTTTCACTGAGGGGCTGCTCCCTCTGACTGTGCTTTGCCAGGGATGGATCTGATTTTCAGACCTGTATTGATGCTATCAAGCTCTTAGTCTGTGTGCTGGATCTGACACCTTGGTTGCATTGATAGCAGTTTAATGTGGTGGAGAGGATCCTGTGAATGTTGCCTGCATTGAGCTCACAGCATTTCTTTCACATATTCTCTCTATTCTACCTATTCTGGACCCCTCTGCTGGGTCCTGGCCAGGTGTCACAGTTTAATGCAGTGGCTTTGTTGACATGCTACTGATAATCCTCTTTTCTTCTACCAGCTCAAGCCTCTCTGTCAGCAGAACAAATCTGTGTTTCTGCTGCTGAGAGATCTGCAGGAAAATTCTGGCTCTGACAACAAAACTCTTGGTGGGGTTGTGTGAGACCTCTGTGTCATATTTCCATAGGATCACAAAACTCAGTTTCAGTGGCAGCAGGAATAACTGCTGAACAGGATCAGGCTTACACAAAGAGTTTGACAGGCTTTAAATATAAATAACAAAATGAGGCTCCTGTTCTGCTGCGTTTGGTGAGGAGGTCTTAGCACAGTCTGAAGTCTGTCTCAAGTTCCCATCCTTCCTGACCTTCTTTTCACTGAAAAGCATCCTTACTCTTTAGGTCACTGCAAGAGCAAATATTGGTGTTTACAGAATAAAAATAACCCAAGGGTTTTTGCTTCAGCATCAAATGAACAGAAAACACTTCCAAAGGACCAGAACTTGGAAATAAATAATAAAATTAGTGTGAGGAGGCTGCTCTCAGGAGCAAGTCAACAGGGAGAAGTCAAGATTGTTTTCTTAAAGGGCTAAAATAAACCTTGAAAACACCCACCCTGTTGAAAAAGAGGGGTTTTTTGGTGGCTCTGGTGGCTGAAATGCCCAGAAAAGGGTGGATATTTTGGCATGTGGGACAAACAGTGGCTAACAGGAGCAGCAAGCTTGTGACTGTCTCCGTATATAAACTGGAGGTGATTCATCCTGGTTTTTATTTTAATAGCAAGGCCACCAAGCCAGCTGAAATCCATCTGAGGTGAGTGCCATGGAATAAAAGGATCAGCTCAGGACAGCAGGCCTGCAAGTGGGTGCCAAGGGGCTGTGGTGGTACCAAGAGCAGAGGCTGGTCCTGCCAGTGCCAGGCACGAAGGAAAGAACAGGCAACTGCTGCTGCCTTGGCAGGGAGGGAACAAAAACAAGCACCAAACCCTGCGGCCCTTTGGACTTTCATCACTCTCGTGTGTGTGTGTGTTCTCTTAAGTTTCCACAGGCCTAAAAACTGGAAAAAACCTGGGGGCCCTTTTCTCCTACACATCCCCAAACCCAACTGCTTTCATTATTTGGCTGGGCAGGGAAAAAAAAAACGTTTCTATTTCGGTAGGAAAGAGTTGTTTTAATACAATCTGGAGAAGGGGGTGGCTTTTAGCCAAATTAATAACATAATGCAGCTAAAATGATGCTTTTCATGTCCTGCTTCCAGTGCTAACACGAGAACACAGAGCAGTGGGTTTGGGAGCTGCTGGGCACTGCTCTGAGTGTAACTTTACTCCCTCTCTGCTCCATCCCTCCTGCTCGGGATGTCAGGCTGGAGCAGAGTTATTGTTTCTCCATTGGCTTTAATTCTAGGAAAGGCAAGTGGATTTCCATTTGAAGGGGTAACTTGAGGCTTTGGAGCAGCTGAGAAACAGCAGCTTCCCCCTGGAAAAGTGAGTGTGACCGAGAGTCTCGGGCAGAGAAAATAATTCCTGATTTCTTTAAACAATTAAATTTAAATTATAATATAATAATTAAACAATAATTTAACAATTATAAATATAATAATTAAATTATTTGATTTCTTAAAATAGTTTTATTTCAAAATAAATATTTTAAAATTTGTTTTTATTTTAGTGGACACATCTGTGCTACCAATGCCCAGACCATGTGGCATATGGAGGAAAGAGTTATACCAAGGGCTCTGGCTGGCAGACAAATGAGCTCTGAGGGCTGTGCTCATCCAAACTCCAACAAATTTTTGAGGGAAGTCTTTTTTTTCCTACTTTTTTTGTGAAACCAAAGCATTTTGAGATTGAATACAAGAATTTTGAGATTGAATTAATATTAAAGACTAGAGCTTGAAGCCAGGATCTGCCCAACTGTTCTGCCTGGGCTCTGGCTGATTTTTTCATATAGCTAAATAAGATTTAAACTGCACTTTACTGGCTTTTTTTGTTTGCTTTTTTTTTTTTTTTTTTTAATACACATAAATGAAGGTGTTTATGGCTGAAGGAAATGCAGTGAGAAGAGCACAATTTTATTTGGCTTTCTGTCTGGCCTCCACAACAGGGAGACACTGTGAAGAACACAAACAAATCTTTATTTCTGGACTAACTACTCAGGAGCTTACAAGAAGCAGAGAATAATTTCATGCAAAATGCAGTTCTTTTCACGCTCCTCATTGCCCCATGCATCTCTATTCCCTCTTTCCTATTACTTCTTCCTGTCTGAGCTATTGAAACCTGAAGGCTCTTCCAAAATCCAAGGAAAGACACAAAGCTTTCCTTTGCTTTAATGAGCTTCAAGTACTTAAGGTCTAAACTGAGACAGTTTTTCTCCCAGTCCATCTGTGGAAACAAACAGAAAAATTCAAGTGCTGATTTGGAAGCACTTTTGACCATTTATGGGATACTGTGAAATCCTCAGGATTTTGGTTTCATCCTTACTGCTACAGAAAGGTCTTCAATAATGGAAGATGGTGTCCAACCTGATTTGTTTTGGAAATCTACCTTTTGCCTGGCTTTTCTGGGGGATTTTTTGCCTGGCTGGAATTGCAGATGGTGCTGTTCCTGTTGCAGGTGGAGCCTGCCACCACCATCCCCAAACTCCTGCTGCTGCCTTTCACTTCTTACACTGGAGGGGGATAAGGAAAAGTGGTTTTTTTCCTCCCTGCCAGAACATTGCCTGCTGTATTTGACCTCTCTATTCTCTCCTGCTTCAGATTCCCTCCTTCAGCTGAGCTCAGCTTTTGCAGATGCTTCCACAGCCTGACCTGTTCCATAAAAGAGACAGAGAATGTCCCTGCTTAACCTAGAGGAAGTGGTGGGATTAGCAACCAGTTTACTTTTAAATGCATCTGTTTTGAGTCATTTGTACATTAAGGATATCATCACAAGTTTAACAGCAGAGGTGGAGACCCACATAAAATTTCAGATACAGATCAAGGGTGAGGACAGATGGGAATTTTCCCAAACAACCCCTATAAATTTTCTTCTTGCATTCATAGCACAGAAGCAACCCTAACGGAGGAAAATCCTAATATTGGGTGTTATTTTGGGACACATTTAGCCCTTTAGGCACCACAGGGGTAACAGAGATACCCCACTGTGATTCTGTTCCCCAGCCTCTTCCTCCAGCCTCCTCCCAACCCATCCAGGAGCACTGGAAGAACCAAACAGGAGTCTGGGGTTGCAAATGAGATCTGTGGCTCTTTGTTTTCCCTCTTCCTAAAGGCTGATTCTCTGCTAAATAATATTGATCTCATTGGCTGCAGAGACTCAAAGCTGGAAATTGCTTTGGTTTAGAATAATTTTTCTAAATGATTGAAGAGACTTCTTTTTTTCTCTTTTTTCCTCTATTAGTTTAATACATTAATTTGCCACTGAGGAGGTGGAGCCCATAATATCCTGTTCCTGAGGAAGGAGGGCTGAGTAACACTGAGCCACTGTTCCCAGTACAGGCTTATTTACTTTAATTAGAAAGTGCACTTGTTAAGTACTCAATTAATTACGTAGAGCAGCACCTATTGAGAGCAGATGAAAGAGCCACTGTGTGAGGAGGGAGGGGGAGACAGGGAGGGATGAAAAGGGAAAGATAAAACCAATGCTGGAAAGTAAATGCTGTTAGAGAAGCCAGAGGGAGATCACAGGTAGAGCTCTGTTGGGCCCTAAATTACAGCCACTGTTCATAAATTGGCTTCAGGTATGGTGGCTGGTGCAGATTTTGTGGGATTATTTGGAGTCAGTCTGCAGCTTTAAAGCAGATCATTGACTAGGACTTCAAGATGATTTACCCCAGGGTCCTGCTCAACTTATCACGTTCTAGAGGCTGTAGGTCAGTCAGGAATATCTCAACCCGCAGCAAAATAAGTGCAGCAGTTTGTTTTAGAGAGGAAATAGTTCATTCTGCTCTTAAAAATATTTGAATGTTTGCTGCTGTTTCATTTCCCTTTCTCTCCTTTTGCATTTTCCTTTGCTTTAATATATCCAGAATTTTAAAGCAAACAAGTTAAAGTCAGGGTTTTGAAAGAAAATTTTCATGTAATGATTCCAGAAACACACTATTAATACCAGATGTTTAAACAGAGTCATCAATACGTTTCCCAAAACCAAGGCCACTTAAATGATACGTCATGTATCATTCTTTCCTCTGACTTCTGCAGGGTAATTCTGCACAGCTCGTGTCTCAGGTCTGCAGGACACTTACATACGAAGAGAGGTTTTGGGGGTTTTTTAAGCAGAAGTCAAATTTCTTGCACAAGATCCCAAGAGCTGGGGTTTTAAGCCATATGCCAACATCATGAGACTTTTGGTAGGGTTGCCAGCTCTAAACTGAAACCCATCTCCCCATCTAGAGGTTCACTTGAACTTCAGCCCAAAACCAGTGGAAGAATTCTGTGACGTTGGGCTGAGCTTTGGGGCTGACCCTTTGCCTGGCAGCCCAGCCTTTGCTGTAAAGGTTTGTGGTTGGTTTAAACAACGTGGCTGATCAAAAATCCATTTGGTGCGTGGCTGCAATCAAAGAGTTGTGCCAGATGCACGCTCTGGTGTGGATGTGAGGTTTGTTGTGATCCTCTGTGCATATGAGGCTTTTTTAAAGCTTCTCCTGGAATCCGTGTGCAGGAATGTTTCAGAGGATTCTGATGAAATTTTATGCTCTACTGATGACTACGCAGCAATTTCCAGGGAATTGTAATAACATAATAAGCCAGTCTTCTCGGAGTTTGAAGGAATTTTTCCTCAGCATTTCTGAGGTTTGCTGTAATTCCCTGCCTTTTCCATGTAGGAGTGCAGACGTGGTTCCACCATGGATAAAGGCAGTGTTCGTGGTGGGCACAGGAACACTGCAAACTGTTGTAAGCCTTTTCCCAAAACAATATTCCCTCCTGGAATATTCCTAGCAAATACATTTGTGTAATGGTACAAGATTAGGTAATGGCAATCTTTGGAGCCTGACTCTGCTCAGGATTCATTTCACTCCCATTCCCCTCTGCTGGGAGCAGGAGCCTGGTGAGAAGCAGAAGCTTTTGGCAACAGAGCCAGAGAAATGATTCCTGTGAAAATATGATCATATGAGGGGGAGGAATGGGGTTTGTGTGTGTAAAGTATGAGGTTAATAGAAGTATTTGGAGATGCACTTTCTGTGCCTGAGTGTGAGAGAGGCTGGCTGCACTGCTCCTGCTGCTGTTTCTTTTCCTTTTTGGCTCTGTGAACTTTCAAACAAAACCTGAGCACTGGGATCTGAGGAGTCCCTGCTGCCTCTGCTGTGCTCAGTCCAGCTGCTTTTTGTGCTCTTTGCTTTCTAAAGCCCATGAGCTGTTGATGCCTCAGGCCCTAAAACACTGCGCTCCACTTTAGTGACGGCTCCATCTGTCTGTCCTGGAGCCTTTTCTTCCTCTTTCCAGTATGTAATTTAACCTTAGATAATAATTGTGACCTGAAATATGAATAACTCATGTACAGCTTTGTAAATCATCCTGAGAGGTTTTGTATGACACAGGCAACTTCTGAGCCGTAATGAGTGAGGTTTCTGAGGGAGCATTGGCATTTGAATACAAACCTTTCATTAATTTTAATGAGGACCAGAAATCCATGTGTACATCTCTGAAATTGCTTCAAAGTACTCAACTGGTAATGTGTGAACAATCCTGTCTGTCACCCCCTTGATGCCCCAGTCCCCTGAGCTGATGTTGCTTTTCTGGGCAGTAAGAGCAAATATCAGAACATGGTTTGCTCTTTTGTGGAAGGGGAACCTGGAATGTGGATTTATTGAGTGGCTTTGATGTCCTCACCAAACAGGAGAGATGCAAATAAATGTGAGTTCTGGTTGCTTCAGGTATCAGCTTTGCCTCGGGAATTGACCCTAACCTGAAGCCAAAGCACCAGGGAGACGATCCTGCTGTGGATGGTGCAGGTCCAGAGCCTTGTGTAGGTGGTAAATAAACCCCCCCAGGTGCTGCTTGTCCACCTGCACTGTGAGAAATCGCTCTGGAGAGGTGTAATTTCAGAACTGGGCAAGGAGTTTCTACATGAATTATGTACATGCTGAAAGTTTTTCGCTTTAGGTCAACCAAAGGTATTTGTGAATCGTGCCCAACTCTGAAGTGCTTTTCAGCTGGAGAAGGAAAAGCTGAAGCAAACCCAGGACATTTTCCTCAGCCTTTGAACACTGAAGCATTACCTTTGCTCATTTCATATTTTTTCTGAAGCAAACTTTGAAAACTGATCAGAAACTTTTGGTTCAACATGAAATTCTTGGGCTTTTATGGCACGCAGAGTGTTGTGTGCTCTCAGCACTGGTGGTACTGACAAAAACAGCCTGACTGTGCCAAAACCCTGCTGCAAACCCCTGGGAATCCTTACCATTGGCATTTCCATGTTTCTGAAGGGGAAGCAGTTTATCCTATAAGGATGGTGATATTGACTGATATGATCCTGAAACTAGTTTCCCAAAACTTCTCCTTCTGCATTTGCACCGAAGCAGTGAAGCCTGGTAAGGTTCTGCCGAGTCCTAAAGCAGCCAAAGCCATGTAAACATGCAGCAACTTTGGCAATGAGAGAGAAATAACTCCATTTTGATATCTGTATTCAACAGGCTTAACATTTGTAGGTGACTCTTGAAAAAACACTAATTTTTTTAGCTGTGGCTTAAAAGAAGCCTATTTGGTTAATATTGAATAAATTATAAAAACAACCTAAAATTCCCTGATATTGTTTCCCTGATCTGTCTGTGCTGAGGGATTCAAACACCAGGACAATAGTTTTGGAGGGGTTTAGAGTGTTTCTATATTTTTCATGTTTTCATTGATACCCCAAAGCCCAGACCCTTTGACTTGGGTAAGTGTTTACAACATAATTTAGCTTGGACTTCAAATGTTGAATCTGCATGGTGGGGTGGGGAGGTTCCAGAGACAAAATATCCATGAATCTTTTCAAAGATGAAG